ATGTAAACAAAAACATAGTTTTCATGTTGCACCTGTGTCATGATTTCCAAAGACGTGGAAAATGAAACTAACTTCACCTTTGTTTTTAGCTTCTACATGCATCTCCCTCTGATACTTACAGTGTCGACAAGCAAGATGTAGTCACAACTTCCACCAAACACAATCACATCAGCATCTTTGCCGGGATTAGCTGTGTGCCACAACCTTAAACAGGAGAAGGTACCACTTAAAATCTGATCACAGTTTACAACAACGCTTTATAACGTTTGTTCAGAGTAATAAATATTACATTCATAAGTTGTTACCTTGGCTTATTCTTAAAGGGATGCTCTAACTCTTTCCACTTCTTTGTTTCGACATCAAGCAACCACCCATCACCTAATCGAGCAAGGTTTGTTTTACTAAGAAGAAAACAACTAGAGGACATAAAAGGACCAAAGCAGCAAAGGAAATAAACTTGAATAAGAGGATGCATTTTCTTACTCATTGGTTTGCAGTCAACACTCAGACCTCCAAACAGGAACAAGGTGTTGTCTGATACTGCTGTGAGTGTGTGCCATGATCTCCCCACTGGAGTTGGGGACAACGGGATTCTGGAAAACCGATTTGGCATGATACACACAGCTAACTTAAAAACTCACTGTGAGCTCAGGTTCTGCATACACCACGTGACAAGGTACAGTATAGCAATGACACATGGCTACATACATTTCTGACCATGTCCATGATTCAAGGTTTAAGCAATGGATGTCATTTGTCCTGGTTTCCTGCATTTAAAAAACAGCACAAGTAACTTTCTCTGATCAACACAACATGCATCCATAAACACTACATTGAAAACCAACTGGGACTCTTACCATAACTCTACCTCCACAAATGTATCCTCTGCAACCGAGCACAGCACTGCCATGGGCTGCCCTTGGAGCAGGAGCTCGGCCCTGCAAGCAAAAACAGTGTATAGTACTGTGCAAAAGTCTCAGGCTACTCCAACATTTCTTTATTTTTTTGCTTCCAGGGACCCAGATGTTATTGGAATTGTTTTTAAAGTTCTTGATGAGTTCTCCAGACTTTCTGAAAGTCAAAGTTACCTTTTCTGTACAACATTGAGTGTCTAAGAGCATTTCAACCAATGGTTTTTTTCAAAATAGATAGCATTATGAACACAGAAATGTACTACCTGATTTTGTTTCATTTACTTATTTTTTAGCCATTCAGTGATAGACTTTCTAATGTGATCATTGTCCCTGCTGCATAACCCAAGTATGCTTGAGCTTCGGTGCACAAAACTGATGATCTGACATTTTCTACTCAATCTGCTCTCCATTAATTTCGGTAAGTCATCCCAGTCCCCAGACCATCACACTACCACCACCATTTTTGACTGTTGGTATGTTCTGTATTGAAATGCTGTGTTAGTTTTATGCCAGATGTAAAGGAATTCAAACCTTCCAAAAAGTTAAACTTTTGTCTCACAGAATATTTTACCAAACATCTTTGAGCTCATCAAGTTTCTCCTTGGAGGTCTCCCATGAATGCTGTTTTTGGCCAGTTTCTTTCTTATTGTTGAATCATGAACTCCTAACTGAGGCTAGTGAGGCTGGCCTCTCTCTCTAGATCTCTAGATGTTTTTTGACTTCTGTTCTAACCTCCTGGATGAGTCATCAATGAGCTCCTAGAGTAACTTTGGTCAGATGTCCACTTCTGGGAAGGTTCACCACTGTTCCAAGTTTTCTCCGTTTGTGTATAATGGCTCTCATTGTGGGTCACTGGATTCCCAAAGCCTTATAAATAGCTTTTCAACCCTTTCTAGACTGACATATGTCAATAATTTGACTTTTCAGTTGTTTCTGTAGCTTTTTGAGATCTTTTAGCCTACTTCACTTTGTTAGACAGACTATATTTCAGTGATTTCTTGAGCCAACAGGTCTAAAGGTCTTGGGGTTGGATAGTGAAATTGAACTCAGATTGTGGTTTATCACAGTTAATTCCTTTTTAAAAAGGGGAAAATTCTGTTTTTCAGGTAGGTTTGGATAGCCTTTTTCCCTTAATAAATGAAATCATAATTTAAAAACTGCCGTTTGCGTTTACATTGGTTATCTTTGTCTGAAATTCCAATTTGTTTGATGATCTGTAATGACGATCATGTAATATGAAAGTAAATCAAATATGCAAAAAAAAAAACAGCAAAAGGGCAAACCCTTTTTCACACTGTACATGGTAGCATTTCTTACAGATTGCACTGGATAAGAACAACACGCATAGGTGATGATGAAATATTGCATCAGCTGTTTCTGTTCAGCTGTGTAAGCATGCCCTGCAGGAGCTGCAGTCAAAGATGTTCCACATTTCTTATACACTGTCTCATCAAAGTGTTGTATAAAGATTGCATGTGCTTGATTTTGGAACATTTTGAGAGCAACAGTCAAACATGCCTAGCCTTAGGTCTTAATAATAATCTTTTATTTATATTTCCACTTGTGAAGTTACTAATTAAAGTTTTATAGCATCAGGGGAAAAATCCCACACATGAAATTCCTGACTTCAGTCAATACCAGCATGAATTAATCTCAAACTGACTCACGTGGGTCCGCGGTTCACTCCAGCTGGACTGCATGGGGTCAAATATGTGAACTTCATTGTTCCATCCCCAAAAGACATCTCCCACCTGGCAATAACAAAAGAGCTAAGCAGATGTAAAGAAGCTAACTTTTCTAACAAAAACCTTCAAAAAAATCTCACAGAGACAGCTAAAAGACTTGTAGTGAGTAACAAAAAACCTACCCATGAAGTTTCATCCACAATAAAGCTTCCACTCCTCCAGTCGAGATCACTCAGTAGTTTGTGACCATAACCACCAAAGTAGGCGAGCCTGGAAAAATATCACACAAAAAAATAATTTCCAATTAACATAAAATTATACATCCAATCAAGAACAGACGTAACGCTGAATAGTTTTCAAAACTCAACACAGGTTGTGTTTTTGTTCGGATGATGACTTTAAGATAAAGAATGGTAAAAAGATGTTGAAAGCCTAACAAAACCTGGATTTAACGTCAAATCCAAAAACAGTAAAACCAAGATTACAAGATTAACTTGTTAACAAAAAATGTTGATTGTGTGGACATCCAAATCTGCTCGGAAATTGGTGCAGGAAACAAAGACACATGGATAGCCTCTTCACTTCATGTATCAAAGTAAGATCAAACACCCAGCATTCAATTAAAAAAAATGAAAAAGACATGGAAACCTAATTTATCTATTTATCTGTCCATCTTCTTTCACTTTTCCAAACCAGCGTCATGCGGGGAAAATTCAGTATCTAGTCCTCAAAATGTCTTTAGTACCAGTTTTTGACAAGTAATCTTAAAAATAGATTTTAGTTCACAACTACTGATTGCCTGTAGTGATTTATGTGGTAACAAAATGCTGAAAATTAAACTTGATTAAAATTTCACTGTGCTCACCGTCCATTATAAACCCAGCAGGACAATTTGTCTCGGGGAGAGGGGGCTGAGCCAAACTCATGCATTATCCTCTTCCATGTATATTTCCCATCTTCCAGGTTGACGCCGTACATCTGTAGGATGAGAAACACTGATCAAATCTTCATTCCTTTATCTCTTTGCTGCATTTATTTATCAACATTTAACATTTTCTTTCAGCGTCTGTAGGGTCTTTCCACCTTAAGTTCATGCCCATAGATACTTCTGTTTCGCATAACATTATAAGGTTTATGTGGAGTTTTTGACCACTAGAGGCACTACAGAGTAATCTTTAAATGATCAATACTTCCAGCTACTGATCATGGACACAAAAAACATAAAATGTACATTATTTTTAAAACACTATCTCTGCAAATTTTACATAAGGAAAGAAAGCATCGGGAGTGCTTGCTAAACCTTAAGCATTCACACAATGTAAACATAACTATGTTTACAAAAAAAACACGTGTCATTAACAGTCACTTCCTCAGATATTAGTCAAACCTGATTGGTCTGTCCATTGTCATCACAACCTCCAAATATGTACATGTGTCCATTCATGTAGCAGCTGCAGGTCCCAGACATGGGGGGAGGGACATCCCCATCCATGTGAAACACCTTCCTTCAGAAAAATGGAAAAAGAAAAGAAAAATGCAGAAAAACTGCTTATATTCACTCACAACTCAGAAGTCAAACAGCCCCAGGAGAGTGCTTGTAAGTCCAAACATAACTGAAATGTCATATGACTCCAACACAATTTCCACGAGTTGAAAAACAGAGTGAAAGTCAGGGCTTAACAGGCATTGGTATTTTTTGTTTTGCAAACAGAAGCAAGCAGGAATTTTTTCAGTCTTCTTACCAAATACCTGCGTCTAGTTCATACACCCAGATTTCATCATTAGGTAAGAAAACTTCTTCCTCAGCAACAGACTGAAAAGAACAAAATAATTAAATAAATTAAGCACTTTAGCATAACGTCTCATTTCATTTTTATATTTTCATCTGTCTCCAGAGAAGTGTCAGGTGTTTGAGTCAGAAATGAAAAACAAAACGAAATTAAATGAAACTAAAAAATTTTTTTTTATATTAACAGATGTTTAATCACTACTGACTTATTAACATATAAGAAGCATTATAATACAGGTGCAGGCGGTGGAGTTAGGTCATGTGGTTTGGGAAATGAAAGCAAAAAAAAAAAAAGCAAGAAGCTGTTACATATAATAATGCACAGCAGTCCTCATTTATTTATGAATGTATTTTTATTTTTAATTTTACTAGGTATAAATTGACATATACAGTTAATGCCACCATTTAAATATCACATGTTTAATACAGTACTGGAGAAATTTCCCTTCTCTTCCTTGTCATTTGTGTCTTTTATGTTTCAGTGTTTTCTCACCATATAGCCTCCCCACACATACAGGAGATTGTCATGCAACACAGCAGTATGTCCGCTTCGTTCCCGGGCGACCAGCTCCGAGCAGTGCCTCTCAAAGGCGGAATCCATAACTGACTGCTATTTACACACAGAGACGTGAAGGCATGCACTTGAACCTAAAAATCACACAAAAAAGGAAAAAATATCTAAATGTCTCACCTATGCTCAACTATATGTATTTACGAGAACAAAGGCAACAGCTAACTGTGAGTAGAAACTCGAACCATCCTACTGTCTTCGGTTTATGCTAAATATTATTTGGGTATGCGAAAAGAAAAAAAATGGTAGTCTACTAATTCAACCGACAAAAGCTCGGAACAGGTTAATACATAACCAGAGTACAAAAACACTGAAAAACTAACGTTTAAATAACCACACTTAGTGCATACTCACGGGACGCAACGCGCTGTTAGCTGTCGGATATTATTTCTTCATGTTTTTATTAAACCTACATATTTTGGACAAGAAAGCCTCGGTGCCAAATACTGTAAACACAGCTACAAAATAAAATACTACTTCCGGTGAACCTCTTCCAGCATAAAATTTCTATTTGTTTTTTTTTTTTTTTATCTCACAATTTCAACGTTATAACACAATAATTAAGACTATCTCAAATGTTTGATGTACCACATTACCTAACTCGGAATTTTGAAGTTATTGAGTCAAAATTTCGAGATATTAAGCCAAGAATTTTACTCTTGGACAGCATTTTGTCTTGTTATTTATTTATTTATTTTTGTATAGATTTTTGTTTTGGTTTTGTTTGTTTCAAAAGAAGGCCCAGAAAGGCACAGTTGTTCAGCTTGTACAACATGGACAGTTTCTCTGTCCATCCATTCATAAGCACTAATAACCAGTACTTATGACTAATTACACTATATAGTCAGTAATATATTCAAAAGGATTTTTTTTATAAACTTGAATTAAGGCCAAACAAACAAATATTTTCCAAAATCAATTTCGAAATCAAAAAATACCATGAGACAAATCTACAGTTTTGGAGCAGAATTGTTTGTGTCATCGATACAGTTAATTTGTGGCAATAAACAATTACTAACGTATGGTTCACTATGGTAGCTTACTGACAAATAATGAAACTACTATGTTTTATATAATTATCACAGTCTATAAATGGCAGTAAAATATAAGGTGACACGTGATAGAGTAATTGTATTCTGTTTTGTCAAATCACTATTAACATGCTAAGAAATATACAATATAAACAATGTAACACCTTTTGCGCTTCGTTTTGATAACTTCTGTTATTATTGCTATTATTTTTGTTCTTCATAAATAATTTATCCTTAAAAAGCTAGGTGATGTTTTATGCATCTTTAGCCTGTATTAAAAAACACAATAATGGAAATTAGAATAGACTTAAAGAGAAACTCACAGTCAAAAAAATAATAATTTTGAAAATGATTCGGCAGATTTGTTTTCAAGTTCGCTTTTTTTAATGAAATAGAGGCGACCCCTAAGACGGAAGTGACGACACTTGCGGAAGGTTGCGGAAGTTGACATTTAGCGCCAAAGCTTGAGTCGGAGCAGAAATAATCATGGATGTTTCACGCAGAATAAAGACGAAAGTGTCTTCTGGCTTCAAGATGAGAGGACTTATACTGCGCCCGTATGTATTCTTGTGTAGATAAAAATGTTTTTTTTCTGCTTTGAAAACTTTCGAAAACACAACGACGTCTTTTGTTTCATCTTGAAGTTACGAACAGGCAGCTCGCTGTGCAAGCCTTCTGTATTTTGCCTTATTAAATACAGAAAAAATGTTTTTAAAAACGAACAAAGAAAGCTTTTTACACTTTTGTTAGACTTCATTTTTATTGGATGTGCACATATAATTCGATGTAGTTGGACCGTGTTTAGTCATGTAGTTGTCATCTTTGTTTATTTATTTGTTGATTGGCTTCTTCTTGTTCTGCGCTCCAGTGAGGCCAGCAGGTACCTTGTAGAGGTGCTGGAGTCCGTCAGTCATTCTGAACTTGATGATGTTATTGAAAGGGTCTTGGATGCAGTGGAAAAACAGCCATGTGAGTGCAGTACAGCTTGTTGTGTGCTCCTACGTTTGTGCTCCCATGTGAGTTTTTTCAGACTGTGACTGTACTGATTTTTCGCGCAGTGTCCTCCAGCATGATCGAGCTGTCCGTGGTGGAAAGTGCCGTGCAGGATTGCACTCAAACTTGTGACGAAACAATGTAAGTTTAAAAAATAGCATTGTTCTAATATTTTTGGAAGGACTCGGGGTGTCCTTTGTACATCGACTGAATTGAAATATCCACTGGACTTATTACTCATGTAGAAGTAGAGCTGGGCGATATGAGATTTTTTCATATCACGATATGTTTTTTTCATTTCAGGCGATAACGATATCTATCACGATATAAGCCAAATAACTATATTTGTAAGATTTAAATGTGCCGTTGCTCACAAGTAAAATGTGAAATAATCAGCAGCTTGTTTTTATTTAAATATTTATTTCCCATAATAAGTTCAACAGGGTAGATGTACTTAAGGAACATGAGACTTTTTCAGATAAATAAAGGCAAATATTGCAAACTACACAAAAGGCAGCCGCTAAAGCGTTTAAGTTTCAAAATAGAACAAACGAAACAGACTAAATTGTCAATTCCACTTAGAAACAAAATATTAATTCTAAAAATAAATCTTAGTTTGTTTTACAGAAGAACAGACAAAACTGACTAACTTTTGTCAATATCAAATAAACTGAGAACTAAAAGGAAATTCTCAATCTCTCCTTGTTGTATAGCTTAGCTTTTCAAACAGTTTTAACAGTTACTTTAGTCTGACAAAAGCCGAATGACGAATTAGCGCTTCCAGTCAGAGACTGAGGCTACGTCCACACGTACACGGGTATTTTTGAAAACGGAGATTTTCCGTTTTCGTTTTAAAAAATAATCCCGTCCACACATAAAGGCAGAAATGAAGGAAAACGCTGCTATGAACATGCCAAAGCAGCAGGTGGCGCTAGATTCCTAACCGTGCAGAAATGTTGGCCAATCAGAAGTCTAGAAGCCTCGGTGGGAAAAAGTAAACAAAGCTGGGGCATAGAAGCAGAACCGAGTCGTATGTGTGGAGGGACAGTAACTGTGTGTATATGTAAGCATTTAAACACTGCAGAGAGTAGAATTAACAGTAACAGTATTGTAGAAATTCATTTCACCGAAACAATAACGTGGCGCACAGTGTGACGCATGCACCAGTTTATTGTATTTCCAGACTTGCTTTCGGCACAATTTACAGTGCACGCTACTCTGTTTTTTGTCAGACTTGAAATAGCCGAAATACCTTCACACTACGGAACTTCTATGGCTCTTCCGTTCGACAATCTCTCCGGCAGTTGGAACCATCATCTGTTTTCTCTTCGGTCACGCTCGGTTGATTTTTCTAGTCGGCACACTCATTTCCTCCATTACGCCTGCTCATAGTGGCTGCTTCCCAAACAAACACACGTGGGCTTGGCACTTGTGCTGTACGTAACAAGTCACGCGACGTGACGCTGCGGCTGTGATTGGTTCGGCTCTGCGCTACTTAATTTGGATTGGCTGACCTTTTTTTTTTTTTTAAGAGGACAAGAGGGGTCTATCGCGATAGCTTAATTTCTCTATCGAGTAAAAGTTATATCGCGATACATATCGTTATCGTTCTATCGCCCAGCTCTATTACTACAAGTTCTTAATTAATTGATCATAAAGCATTTTAATATAATGAATGCCGGTAAAAACTAAATGCTGGGACAGAAATCATTCAGTTGCAGGTTCTTTGTAGAGTAAGGTTGGGATTAACTTGTTTACTTATATGAGTCGTCCCTTCCAGAGATAATGTTTTCAACATAATTGGAGCCTTTGATGTGCCCAGATACATTTACAGTGTGGAGAGGAAGAAATTTGTACCGTGAGTAAAACAACTGTTTGGTTGTTTTTTTTTTCTCTTTTGTTTTAAAGTTAATGTAAATTATTGTTTAAATATAAATGTTTCTGCTGTTTTGCAGACTGCAGTGTGTCTGGCAAAGATTGTAAAGCTTTTATTTTGACTTTTGACTTCCATCCAGCATCAGTATGACCAGTCATCCAGCCCCCAGTCTGTGTGGCCTGGCCAGAGAAAAAGCTGAACTCTTCAGGGAGCGCTATACAATCCTTCAGCAAGTCAGTAAAATCTGTCTCATGATTCCAGGCTGACCTGCTGTCTTTGCTGCCATTTTTAATATGTATAGTGTGCATGTCGTATTCATTTCTGCAGCGAACACATCGCCATGAACTCTTCACCCCGCCAGCGATAGGAGCTGCTGTTGAAGAGGGTCAAAACAAATTTCAGGTATCACATCTAAGCTACTGTAATGGACACTGTGTTAAACGTGTATTACCTCATGTCAGCTATTTAAAAAAACAAAACAAATTTAACTAATCATTTTTAGCATTATTTGTGTTTCCTAGCTGAAGACGGTTGAAGCATTGCTTGGTAGCACAGCTAAACTGGGAGAGGTGATTGTACTTGGTATGATCACACAACTGAAAGAGGTTAGTGATCCAGATAAATATAAGAGATTATGTTTTGTTTTGTTTTCCATTTCACTGAATGCGATGAAAATTGTGACTTTCTGTTCAGTTTGAGGATTTTGTTGTTGTTGTTGTTGTTTAATCTGGTTCATTTAACATTTGAAAACCATTCTTTTCAGGGTAAATTTTACCTGGAGGACCCAAGTGGAACAATACAGCTGGACTTGTCCAAAGCAATATCCTTTGATGTTAATAAAAGTCCTTCATATTATGCAAAATCACATGGAATATAAAAGATAAATTCCTTAGCTCCACTCTCACCAGTTTCATAATGGCCTCTACACAGAATCCTGCTTTGTACTGGCAGAAGGTAAGATAATTACTCTAGTAAAAATGGCAAAATGTGGATTTTATACACACATCCAAGCCTATTTGTGAATTTGCAACTCACGGTTTGTTTTCTAGGTTGGTACGAGGACTCTGTGTTCCACGTCAATGGTTTCGGGTTCCCACCAACAGAGCCTTCATCAGCCACAAGGTCAGAGGAAGAGTAGTTGTACTACAAAATATACATTTTGACATTACATTCTAGTATAAAGTATGAGTTTCTGTGTGTGTGAGATCATGTTCAGACTAAAAGTTAAGGAGCTTCCAGTGAAGTGAAGTCAGTTTAACTTGTCTTCCTTGTTAATTTGTGAAAATGCCACTGAATTAATATGAAGGCAAATACTCTTTAAGTCGGAGATCATCGTCATTATAAGCTACACAGACATGCCAAGATCACACTTCTCAACAGCAGACTATAAAGACTGAATACAGTCACAGTATGTTACAAGAGGGCTTAGTTCCCCAGCCTTATTGTAGTCAGAATGCAGGACTTAAAAATGTTTTTTTAGGAAACTTTTAAAGTGTATAATTTTAATTCAGTTACCATCAGGGGATTGTTAAGAAAAAGCATCTTATGAGAACACGATGAGCAATTGTGGATTTGGGCTGTCCTGCTTGGATCCACAGTATTATTTCATGCTTTACTTGAATTCCTTGATAACTACGGCTCTATTATATGAGGTCCCCAGAAAATGATTCTGATTCCTTGGTGTAATTGTCATATTATTTCCAGAGCATACTACGGAAACATTAACTTTTTTGGAGGTCCATCTGCCACTTCAGTGAAAACGTCCGCAAAGTTGAAGCAGCTGGAAGAGGAGAATGAAGATGCCATGTTTGTTATCGTCTCCGATGTCTGGCTGGACAGTGTGGAAGTGATGGAAAAGCTCAACATCATGTTCTCAGGTCTGATAGTGAACTTTACAAGTCAACAGTACACTTTTGCGTGACACCAGTAACATTTTTGATGTCATTTCTAAATTGCAGGATATGCTGCCATGCCCCCCACCTGCTTCATTTTCTGTGGAAACTTCTCTTCTGCCCCGTATGGGAAGACACAGCTCAAATCACTCAAAGGTAAAGTCTCATAACACACTGAACATCTTGAAATCTCTGCTTGTGAGTTTTGACAGATGCTCTAAAATTTTATTGACATAGTTTTTTGTGTAAACACTGTATGGATCAATTGACTGGCCGTGATATGGAGCTCACACTGAACGTAAGCACAGAGATTTCCTGTCACGTATGTCCTGTGACAATTCCAGGAATGTTTATTTAAACAAGACAGCTGTGAAACGACGTGTCCTCTGCTGTCCGCTATTATTTTGGTGTGTGTGTCCTCAAAAAATTCCTCCGTGGAATGAAAACATTAGTGCCCCTGACATACTGCATACTCTGACCATCTCATACTTCAGTGCACGTTATTTATGGAGCAAATATGGCTGCTGTGCTAGTCATTAACTGTTATAGGAAACAGAGAGTGAATGAAGAGCCACAAGCCAGTGTTATTTGTTTAAAAAGATAAGAAGAATAACAAGCTGCTGGAAACACTCCTCAGAGATTCTGGTCCATATTGACATGATAATATCACACACTTGCTGTAGATTTGTTGGCTGGACATCTCCCATTCAACCACATCCCAAAGGTGCTCTATTGAATTGAGGCCTGGTGACTGTGAAGGTCATGTGAGTACAGTAAACTCACTTTCATAGTCATATCTTGTTGGAGGCAATCATCAGAATATGGATACCCTGTGGACATGATCAGCAATGATATTCAGGTAGGCTGTGGCATTTAAAGCTGATGCCACAGCAGAAATCGAGACTCAACAGACCAGGCAACATTTTTCAAATCTTCTGTTATACAATTTTAATGAGCCGGTTCCATAGTAGCCTCAGTTCACCGTTTTTAGGTGACAGGAGTAGCAATCAGAGAGATCTTCTGCTGCTGTAGCCCGTCTGCTTTAAGGTTTGACATGTAGTGCATTCAGAGATGCTCTTAAGGATACAGGGTTGTAACAAGTGGTTATTTGAGTTACTGTTGACTGCCCATCAGGAAACAAGCCAGTTTTGTCCAGAGTTGGTTGTGTGGGAAAATCCCAGTGGATCAGCAGTTTCTGACCAGCTTTTTTGGCACCAACAATCACATCTGCTTAAATCACCTTTCTTCCCTATTCTGTTGTATGGTTTAAGTCTTAAATGCTTCCACATGCATAAACGCATTCAGTTGCTACCATGTGATTGGCTGATTAGATGGATATTTTGAATAGCTATACATATATAATCGGTCAATGCTAAAATCTGTAGAACATCTGAACAATTTAATAAAGGGACAAAGACAAAGGTTTTCAGAGGTTTTACTCATTTTTTTTAGTATTATTAATTTTGTTTATTGTTTTTTAGAGTCACTGAAAGCCCTTGCTGATGCTATATGCTCATACCCCAGCATTCATAGCAGGTAAGCTCTAATAGATTTTTCACTCTGTTCTGCTATTGTTTTGTTTTCTACTTACTCATGTTTCAGTGTGTTCATCTTAAACCCGCAGTAGTCGCTTTGTGTTTGTTCCCGGTCCTGAAGACCCTGGTCCAGGCACCATCCTGCCACGGTAAACCTTAATAGACGCTTAGATTTCAACTTTATTCTGTGAGATTTTGATTCGAGTGGTTTGAACAAATGTGGGTAAACTATGTTTCAGACCTCCCCTGGCAGACCACATCACAGAGGAGTTCAGACAGAGAGTGCCATTTTCTGTGTTCACAACTAATCCATGCAGGTGAAACAAACATGTGGCTCTTATTTGATGCACAAGTATCTGCTAGTGTGTTTAATTAAGCTTGGAGTACAGGTTTTAGATATGATTTTGAATAGTTTTAGTTAAAACCATGCAGACACATAATGTAATGATGCATATTTCTCTGACAGGATTCAGTACTGCAGCCAGGAGATTATCATTATCAGAGAGGACCTGGTCAACAAGATGTGTAGGAATTGTGTCCGATTGCCCAATAACAATCTTGACATTCCAAACCATGTGAGTTTCAACTTTTCTTAACAAACCTGTTCATACAGGAAGAATCATCACTTCAGCATTCATCATGTTGTCAGAGGTTTATAAGCCTTTGTTAATCATTTTTTGCTAATATTTTTTATGCAAAAAGTAGCTTTTAGTAGTGATAGTAGTATTTTTCTTTTTCTTTCTCTTCTCAGTTTGTTAGGACAATCCTATCCCAGGGTCACTTGACTCCACTGCCTCTGTATGTCAGTCCTGTATTCTGGGCCTATGACTTTTCCCTACGAGTCTACCCGGTACCTGACGTCATCGTCTTCGCAGACAAATACGACCCCTTCAGCATCACTAACACAGACTGCCTCTGTGTCAACCCGGTATGAATGAATGACAGATTCTTTGTCAGAAAATCGTAGAGGATGCTTTCTTCTAATATAAGTAAGCAATATCTTTTTTTAACCTGTTTACTTTGTCAGGGTTCCTTCCCAAAAAGTGGATTCAGTTTCAAGGTGTACTATCCATCCAACAGGACAGTTGAGGACAGGTGGGGTTTTTCCTCTCTCTTTGTTTTTGGTGTATTTAACAGTGACAATGGTGGTTTTAATGGTGATTGTGCTCAAACTAAACAGTTTTCTTATTTCTTCTTCACAGCAAACTTCAAGGGCTGTGAAGAAAATCCCGGATTTGCAATTTGACTGTACATTATTTTTGTATGATATTAGATGTTGAAAATTGACTGGTAATCAAATAATTTTATGGTCTTTGAGTCTTTGTTCTATGAGGAATAATAAAGTTTTTATGCTTTGTACTGAACTTTCTGACCTTTTTGTGTCTATGCATTGAATTGCAACTTGAAACATCCTTAGTAGTCAGTAGCATTAAGTTAATAACATTATCAACTCCTATCTGTTTTACCCTCTATAGTCACTATATCGTAGCTTTGTGAAATATGTTTTTCTAAAATTGTTTCAAAAGGACCGACACATTTTTATATGTGCAACCAATTTTACTCAATTAATGTGCAAGGTAAATACCAAAGAGTGGCTCTTGTGATAGATGCATCCTGTCCCTGATACAGGCATATATGCTGTTGGATTCAGCACAGTCAGAGCTTTGAGTTCTGCTGCAGCCTCTCCCATTCAGCTTGGCAATTTATTTATTTATTTTTATAATTTTATCTTTATATAACATCCATTTCATATGAAACTTTAACGAAACGAAAAGCGTTGTTGCGCTTTGTTCTGCGTTTGGGAGTCTTAAATTTTGGGGGTACTTTTCCACCCTACTATTAATGAAAACAATTAAATGTGGAGACTTTTATTTTGAAAAGAAAAACGTCTCCATTTGATTTTGACCTAATTGTGTGTACCTGTTTCTTATATGAGAGTTGTCCTGTAGCAGTAGTGACTTCGTAGTAGTAGTAGTAATTATAACAATAATAATATAAATAATAAAACCTTTATACAACGCAGGACGGCCTAGCCCGTTAATTCCGACCTTATAAAGATGGTGGATTTAAAAAGTCTAGTCATTTCCGGTCGTGCCCCCCAGAAGATTGTGATGACCTTACATAAATGGCGCATTGCTACTGAAATTTGCAAGGAACCCTAGTATCTGATAAGGTAAAGCGATGACAGGACTGGCTAGATTTTGTGTAGGATATTTGAATTCTGGTTAGTTTAGACATAAACGAGGTAGATATATCTGAGCGGTATTTAGCGTACAGTTTTCGGTGTGTTTTTCTTCTGCAGAGGGAAATAACTGTTTGGTGCTTGCTAGCACGAATTACAGCAAAGCAATGAAGAGAATTTTAGACAAATATATGAATTAACAGCATTTTGTTAAGCTGTTATTCACTGTAAGTCTTCCATGTAATATTAGAGGTATGCTTAAATGCCAGCGTTGGGCTAGTAGCCTAAATAGTTAAGGTAGAAAAGTAGGTCAGCATTTGTCGTGCTACTTGCTAACATGATACAATCCGCTGCCATGGTAAATGATGATGTGACTTTGACCTAGAAACAAGCAAATCTCTACTTGACACAGAGAGAGCATGTTCTATTTTTATGGCTAATTTTGTACACCTCCACTGTTTTAAATGTGGGTCATTTCCTTGATTGTTTGTTTTTGCTTGTTTTAAAGATTATTTTTGGCCCGGGATTAATGCGTTAATAGAATAATCCTATTGGCCATAACCTAGTCGATTTCTCAGTACCTTACTTCTTGCTTTGATAGGAAACAAAAGAGGCTGGCATGGCAGAGGGAAGGGCAGAGATGGAAGAAGACAGGGGAGATCTGCCCAACGGAGAGGATGACAACGACTCGGATAGAGATGAAGATAACAGATTAGTTGGTTGGATATTACATGAAGATATGGATGAGGACGAGGAAGATGAGGAAGTGGACGATGAGCAGTTATTAGACGCTGAAGCAGTTGAGCAGGACGCCCCAGCTGAGCGAAGTGGTCATATAGCAGTGGTTGACAGAAACATCATGTATGTGTGGGGTGGATACAAGGTATGCTCCTAAACTGCATTGCCATTATGTTTCTGTATCTTTCTGCCGTCTCCATAATTGTCTAAATTTCACTGTGTTCATCCTCCTGAACAAGAATGCTGAAAACCATGGATTCTTCGACTTGTATCTGCCTAGAAACGAGATCTGGACCTACAACATGGAGTCAGGAGTCTGGTGAGGGCATCTGGCTTGCAAGCCAATCATACCTCTACTTTGTAATTGTGTACAAAAATGAATATAAACATATATATATTTATATATTTATTTTTTTCTATTTACAGGACAAAGCATATAGCGGGAGGTAGCCTCCACACATCTATGTCAGGCAGCTGTGGGGTGTGTGTTGATGGAGTTCTCTACCTTTTCGGGGGGCATCACGCCCGGGGAAACACAAACAAGGTAGGGTGTGACTAGGGTTAGACTAAATTTCCTATCTGCTTCTGGTGTTTTTAAATAGGTGCTTGCATCACATTACCTTAAAAACATATCAGCCAGCTGTGCGAGCGGACAGTCTTTACAAAACGTCTTTGCTCGTATAGATTTACCGCTTGCCCTTGAGAACTCCCAGCCTTGTGTGGGAGGAAATGAGGGATCTTAAAGGACTTCCGCCATCATCCAAGGACAAGCTGGGCTGCTGGGTTCAGAAAAACCGGTAACAGGATAAGGGTTTTTGTTTGTATGTTTGTTTTGGAGGTTTTTTTAATGCAGGTTTTTTTTTTTTTTTATGTAGTTACTCATTGTGCTTGAGAAAATAAGGCTCAGTTTCACCAATCCTTCATTTCTTTTGACAAACATGTTTTTAGATTAACTGTGAAATGTTTTTTTTTTCCTATAAAAAGAGTAAAAACAATAGATTGATCTTGAGTTTACTTGAAAGTAAAATGGCATTAATTTTGACACAATGATGGTCGTTGTTTCAGAAGTTTTATTACTGTATAGTTTACATACTCTAATTGTAGAAATGAATGTTGTGGAAATTTTTGGCTTTTAATGATTTCTTTTTCCAGGATGGAATGATTGTACGGCAGACATCATTAATGACTGAGTGCACAAGTTTGAATTTATTTTGGATTTCCTCTAATCCAAACAGGGTCAAATACATACATACAGATGCTGTTTCTAGTCATCAATACTTGCTTCATTGTGGTTGGTGACACTAGCGCTCCAGCAGTTTCCAGTTCATGGCAGGCTTGAGCCTTGGTGGTTCCTGGGTTGTTCGTAAACATCCTAACCAATTTCCTCTTATCTGAAGGTGACAGTTTGGTTCTTCCTCTAGACACTGGACAAAGTGGTGACACATCTGAATGTGTGTGAATCTAAAATTTTCCTTCTTATATCTTCTTGAAGTTTCACATTGTTCTGAGTATTGGTCAGTCCAATGACTGCTGTCAGGCAAATCCTTTTCAATGCTGCACATAGAAACTACCCGTTGTAGTCAATCACGATCACTAATGAGGCCTTTGCCTTCAGAGCCACTTATTAAAAGATTTAAGTGAGTTTATATATATGTTTGAGCTTGTATGTATGCTTTTGACACTGTGTGGATTAGAGATTTGTTTGTTTTTTAAGTCATTAAAGACACATGTACAATCCTTCCACACTGGAAAAACAGTCCAAAGAAATGATTAAAAGTCCAGAGTTCATGCTCATGATAAATCTGTGGTCATTTCTGATCACAACACAATGAGAAATTCATAAGAGAGATCATTTCTGTAAGATTTTAAATATGTAAGTAATTTGTCTGAATGATTGCAGAATTATCTACTTTGGGGGCTATGGCTACGCTGCACAGGGCGCTCATCGAGGGACTTTTGAATATGATGAATCGTCTTCTCTTGTGGTCTGTAAAAACAAAAATCTTATGACAAATGATGCATTTAAACAAAACTATTATAAAATTGTCTTGAAATCCATTAGATGCTGTTTTTGCTAATTAAATGTACTTTTGATAGCTGGAGCTTCTTGAATAATTATGGCTTAATATCTAAATGTATCCCTCTGCCTTGTCCTCTTTGTTTTCACCGCTACAGTGGGACAGCCCTGGGCGAGGCTGGAACAACCACATCCATATCCTGGATCTGGAGACGTCAACGTGGAGTCAGCCAATTACCACGGTAAAAACACTTCCTTACAACTTCAGCACATTCGATTTTATGCATACACACAAATGCGTGTATCACATTGCCCTGCAGTAAAACTTGGAAACATCCTCTGTAATTAAACAGCCTCTCCCTTTTTCTTCTAATTTAAAAAAAAAAAAAAAAAAAGAGATCTTAGTGATCTTTAAACAGTATTTTCAATTTGTCTTGGTTTGGCCTGATGCAGGGGGACACCCCTTCACCCAGAGCAGCTCATGCCTGCGCAACAGTTGGCAACAGAGGCTATGTGTTTGGTGGCCGATACAAGGTAAGCATGGGCAAAACGTGAGATTTCAAATCAAAGCATCACTTTTCTTCTTTTTTTTTTCCACTCCTAAATTATGTGCATAAGTGTGTGCACTCATTTAAAGATGAAGATGTTTTCAAAATAAACAAATGTACTTTTGTTTTGTTCACAGAACTACAGATTAAATGACCTGTACTATCTTGACCTGGACACGTGGGAGTGGCATGAAATGTAAGTGCTTCTTAATGTGCTGTGGTATGTAATCCACACTATAAAGGTTTTTATTAATCAGATTATACATATTATACGGATCATAGCAAAGGTTTTGAATTGAATCTTTTTTTCTTTTTTTTTTTAATATCACGTTTCTAATTGCAAGACTATCTGATCCGATTATTCCCCTGTGACCCACTCTGCCTTGCTCTAGGAGCGTTCCCCAGCAGGGTCCAGTGGGCCGTTCCTGGCACTCCTTCACTCCTGTGTCACCAGACCACATCTTGCTATTTGGAGGTTTCACCACAGACAGGGAGACGTTGAGTGAGTCAGACACTCGACCTCAAGGAGCAAATAATCAGAGGTCCTAAAATAATACCTGATCTCAAAGAGATTATTTTTCTGTCTTTTAGGTGATGCTTGGCTGTACAGTGTGAGCAAAAATGAATGGAAGCCTTTCAAACACAGTCACACAGAGAGCCCCAGGTGACCATCTCACGTTACTGTGAACAGCTGGCAGTGCGCTGGCAGTTTTTCCTGAGCTAAAATGTGGACAATGTTTGACTTTGTGATTTTTAGGCTGTGGCACACAGCGTGCGCTGGTCCAGATGGCGAAGTGTTTGCGTTCGGAGGGTGTGCCAACAACCTGCTGTCACAGCACAGAGCTGTAAGATGGTCATCATATCTCAATTTAACCTGCAGTTAATGCAAATTTTCACTTGGTGAATTAGATTTTTTCCTCCACTTCACAGGCACACAGCAATGACCTGCTGGTTTTCAATGTTCAGCCCAAATCATTAGTTCGGTGAGTGCATACAGATTTGAAATCCATTTCAATTTATTTTGCCATCACGTCGTGTTCATCTAACTCTCCAATTTCCAGGTTCTGCATGGAGACCATCCTTCAGCACAGGGAGCGTTTGTCTAGCTACTGGGACTGTTTGCCTAAACACCTCCTGCACAGCCTCAAACAGAGAATGGCACGTGTCAACACACTGGGCTCTTAAGAGGACAATTAGAGGACAATATGTATGCGTGGAAGGGATACATGCTTTCTGAAAGCAGGTAGTCCTTTTCATGTCAGTGGATACTTTCATACATAAAAACCTCTCCAGGGAATGCTGAACGGCTTCGGATTTGTTAGAAATGGGTCCCGCCTGACGCATGATGGTTCACAGGCCATCCTCAAAACTGTTAATCACCTTATAGATGTTGCCGGGACAACCATCATTGTTGAGTGGTGGTGGTGATGCGATAGCACAGAGGAGAAACCTCTCACTACATTTGGGATTAGCTTTTTTTTTTTTTTTTTCTCTCTCTAAACATTCTTTGCCCATCTTAATTTTGATGAGTCGTTTCGACAGTAGTGATGAAAAGCTTAAATGACGGCGTCGTTTTCTGTCCAGATTAGATGAGTCTTATGATGACAAACGTGAACTAAAAACAAAACTTAAATTCATTAAGACAGTGATTCTGTATCAAACAACAAATTAAAAATAAGTTTGCTGTAATTATTACTATAATTTTTGAGAATATCTTGAATACAGTGTTTATTGATGTTGAATGATTTTCCGAAGTTCTCACAGACCTAAAACTCGTGCTTTATGCTACACATGACTATCTACTTTAAGGCACAGAAATGCTAACTTTAAGTTTTTGTGTATATATGATTATTTATGTATGTGTGTGTGTGTGTGTGTGCGTGATTCTGTACGTTCAAAGAGGCTTTTAAAGCCTGAAATTGGAGAAAATAAATTGTTGAAAGTGGCTACTGTAGCATACGAACTTAATTTAATCAATAACTCACTGCAAGTTTATTGGGGCTGCGGCTTTGTTTGGAATCGCCTGGTTTGCACAAAATTCCCTTGATTGATTTAGTTTGTTTGTTTGTTTGTTTTTAAGTGTGGGATTTAAAAAGGCATATTATTACTGCAATGCATAATTTGTACTCAGAAAATAAACACATGACATATTCAGCTTTGTTACATGTTGTGGTTCACCAAATACAATCTCAAGAATTCTGAGAAAATAACCACCCAGGTCTGAAATATAGGTGAAGTCTGCAGAGTCTCAGTGAACCGGACTGAGGTGCAGTTCCGTGCTGAAGAAATGCTGTAAATTTCAAAAGTCTCTCCGGCTCGTGTCTTCTATCCTTCATTTTTTCTTGGCAGCCAGCAGGTTTGGAGCAGACACCTTGACTTTTCCTGGCATGTTTCTGGATAGGTCAGAATCCTGCGGCAGAGCGTCGTGAGAAAAGGGACAGTTTGAATTGTAACACAAGGGAAAACTGTGCTTCCATGCCGTAACAGTTTCAAACAGTTATTGATAAGATTATTCTATTTTTACAGTTTGTTGGGTGGAAAATGTGAAGTTAAAAAAAACCCCTGAAACATCTGTTTGACCCTAAACATAATCCAATAAAGATTCAGCAGCAGGTGAGATGACTGTGCTGAAGTTCATTCATTTTAATCTCATGAAATAGCTACAAGTGAGGCGACTTTATTAAAATGCTTCTTTGTGTAGCATTCCTTGATAAATGACTGGATTGTAGTTATTTTCTAATGGATACTAACTATGTAAATTTAGCAACACAAATTAACAGAAAGCACTCTTTAAAGGCAAGAAGGTTTTTTGTACCTTGACGCTGCGGAACAGGTCTTTTTCTCTTGGTGACACCTCTTTGGCTTTCATGAAGCTGAACACTGCAGTGCGTGCAGCTGGTAGGAGCACGAACAAGAATTTACCATCAGCTTGAAAGAAACTATCTTTACAGTAATGTCAGTCAAAAGCTTTCCGAATTACCTTTGCCTTTTTTCTGAGAACCTGGTGTCAGTTTCACTTTGTGTCTGCAGAAGACAAGCAAGCAGTTAGGCTTTGGTCTCTTCAATTTGACTAATACAAGGAAAAGCTGATACCACTCACTTGTAGTTGGAAAGAGCAGTGTACGGAGCGCAGACTGGCACTGCAAACAGCATCACATCCTCCGGATGCGGCTGGCCTGTTAGAGAGGTGAGCAGATTCTCTGCTTCCTAAAGTAACAGACAAAAAGAAATCCTTTAAAATCAAGCTATTCTTTTTAGTAGTATTTTTAAAGGGCATACAGATTTCTTTTTTAGGATTAATAATCCATATTTAAATATTTATACTGCAAACTTACCTCTGCTCCAGGATTGTCCTGGTCCACCTCATCTTCCTGAAAGAGAAGAAAGCTTTGTTGAACCTTTCCAGGTACCGGTCTGTGGCCATGAGTCACCAAACAGCCACAGATAGGTTTGTTCTAATTACAGTATTGTGTAAAAGTCTTGAGCTACTCTTAATTTCTTTATATGTTTCTTCTAAGGAGGCAGACTTTGATTATTTTTTTATGCAGATAACTTTGTAAACATAATCAGATATTATACATACACATACTGAATCCTTTCATTACCTTATCCTCCTGTTCTGCAGCACCTCCCTCCTCTCCGGGCTGCTTCTTCTCCTCCTCCTCCCCTCCACCCTGCTCTGCTTTCTTCCCAGCAGTCTCCACATTACGAGCTTTCTGATGTTGTTTTTGAGCGGCCGGTTTCCTGACAGGCTCCTCTTTCCCCTTCCCTTTCTTTCCTTTCTTCCCTTTATCTTTCTCCTCCTTCGTGGAACCAGCTGACTAAGGAAGCAAAGCAGCTGAAATGTTATTTACTGCGACACCATCGAGAACCACGTGCGCTGCAAGTACTAGTGCCAGCTGCATGTAAGGGTTTTTCTATTCATTCTCACCCCAAGCAGCTGCATCATCAGCTCTCTGTCCTCTTCATCCTGATCTTTATACTTTTCTTTGATCTTCTTCAGTTTGTTCTGTAATGACAGAAGAGTGTGGCTGGTACCTTTAGCCCATTTTTTAAACTAAATGTAATCTTATAATCTTCTCATTTAGTAAAACTTCAGCTCTCAATTAAAAAAAAAATACTAAAAGGTTTTAAGACCTCTGATGCTTGCACAGCACAAAAAATGCCAACTTCATCCGTCCGTCTCACCTTTTGACCTCTCTTTAACGGCTGCTGAGAGGGTCCACTGCCACTTTTGGACCCCTGATCCCCCACCGGTCCACCGAATGACTTGTCAGGCTTCTCCTCAGTCTCACAGCCCTCCAGTTTCTGCTGCTGCTTCTTCTTCTTCTCTTCTCTAAGGGAGGAGGCAAAAACACAGCGACCGGTCATCTTTCTCTGCTCATGCCGTCATCATCCGCTTGTAATATAAAACAGGATTTTCATTTGGGTTATACGCTCACCTTCTCTGCTTGGCAGTCATGTGTTTTTTCCCCTGTGAATCTACGTCATCCTGAAAGTCAATGAATAAAAAATTGCTATTTATTGTACTTTAAATGAGATGGAAAAAACTTAAATGTCCAAAGATGGTAATATTTGCCTGAGCAGTTGTTTCTTTTTTGAAGCCGGCATTCTGGGAGCTCCTAGAAATAAGGAGAAATGTTATTAAAGTACTTTTAATTCTGCAAATATACATCTGTTTGGCTTTTCTTTTGCTTGGTTAGTGGTACTACCTGCTGGGTTGTAAATGAGAGAGGGTGATGGTCGTATCTGGAAAGCTGAATTCTTCACTCTCTTCATTCTCTTTTTCCATACCACTGTCACTCCGTTCTGACACCTTCTCTCCTGTATCTGCTGCAGAGTCTACTTCTCCACTCGCGCCATCATCCTCCTCCTCTGTGTCATCCTCCTTTTTCACCTCCACCTCCTTGGTCTCTCCATCGTCTGCTCTTTCTTCACCCTGATCTTCATTACTGCTGTCATCCCCTAGAAAGGCAGCAGAAATGGCTCAACAAATGCATATAGATAGATATAGACAGAAATTACATCATTGATGGTTTCTTCCTACCTATGAGCTCCTCTCCCTCATCTAATAGCTCGGCAGTTCTGGATGTGGCCTCCTCCATGTCTTCCTCTACGGTTCTCACCTTCCTCTCCCCTTGGTGCCGAAACACACTCTGATCATCCACCTGTAAAAAGCAGAAGAAACATTAGCGAATTCTTTAAAAATGATAAAGGCTTGAAAATACACTCACAGCTAGTGATGGTACTCACCTTGAAGAGGAACCCAAAGCCCATAATTAAGTAAGAAGGTGGCAGAAAATTTTTCTTTCCTAAGGGAAAAAAAATTACAAAAATGAGTCCCATCGTATCTCTTTGTAGTCGGTATTTCGTGCATTCGAATTCTGCTCTTTGATACCTCTGATCATGAAGCTTCCAGTTGTCAAGTACTCGCCAGTGGGAGCAGTTTTAGACACCTGGGGGAGAACAAAACGCATAATACCACTTATCAATTTATTAATAAACAATTATACTATAAAAAACACCACAAGTTCAAAGGTAAGTTCAAAGGTCCCAGAGAGTGTTTAGACTTTAGTATGGAGCAATTTTGTGAGTGTATCCCTGATTTAATTACTGCAGTCGTTGGCTGCTAACAGGATGGCTGCTTTAAAACTAACATATCTGTGAGTAGCTTCTCATTTCTTAAACAGCCATGTCCAAAGTCATATCAAAATATATCCAAAGACGTAATTATTGGCCTGCTTCAAGCAAAGGAAACAAGTAAGGAAACTACAGAAACTACAATAACCTGGAGAGATTAGTGGTTAACCATCTCTTAGGAAGAGGGATTGTAATCAGTGATCGCATATCAAATCAGAAAAATACAACAGAAGAGCTCACAGCTTTGATTAATAGTGAAAGTAAGAACATTTCCATGCGGACAATGCAAAGACAACTCGAGACTAAAGAATTAAAGTAGGAAAACCACTTATCAGTGTGGCTAATAGGGAAAGGAGTCTTCAGAGTGCTAGGGAACATAAAGATTGGACTCTGGAGCAATGAGGAAAAGGTCATGTGGTCTGATAAGACCTGTCCTGAAGTGATGGGTGCGTCAAGGTAAGAAGCAAGGCGGATGAGGTGATCCACTCATCGTGCCCAGTGCCTACCACAGAAGCTTGTGGGAAAATGTTATGATCTGAGGCTGTTTCAGTTGGTCAGGTCTAGATTCACCAATGAGGCCAGCTGACTATCTAAATGCACTGAATCACCAGGTTTTTCCTTCTTTGATAGCGCCTGTATATTCCAAAATGATAACGTCATGATTCATTGGGATGAATCGTATCACTCTCCTCAATGATAATACATACATAAAAAACATGAAGAGTTTTCTAGACTCACCTGATGATGATGAACCCACCAAGCACTGGTGACAATTTTGGCATCCCAAGCAGCACTGTAGCACACAGCCATGGTGCCAGCTTCTGTCAGAGTACGGGGAGGGATGGGATTC